ATTAATGTCTTTATTTTACTGCTTTTGCTTTTTGCTTTTTGCGGGTAATTATTCGTATGCGTTGTTTGCTAATCTTCGATGAATAGTTTGAGTCGGTTCGCGTGCACCGTCGTAATTTTTCGTTTCTGTTTAATTTTGTAATTAACATCAGAGGTTTTCTCGATTATTTGATATGGACCTATCCATGGTGCTTCCAATTTCTTCGATCGTCCTCTGCGCACTGCTTCGTCATGCAGGAGGACCTTATCTCCTACTTTGAAGGTTTTAGTATTCGTATTTTTATCTGCTATAGTTTTTTGCTTTTTGTTTTGCTTCGCGAATATGTTCTTTTGCTACTTTCTGTGTGGCTCTGAGTTCTCTTAGTTCTTGCGCGTAGTTATCGTATGTATAATATGGTTTCGGTGGCGCTGCCAGGGCCGTAGGTAATGTTGTTCGGTGCCCGTATATCAATTCGAACGATGTATAGCCCGTTGCTGTATGCGGTGTCGTATTGTACGTGAACATCGCGTATGGGATCCATTTATCCCAGTTGGTTTGATCCTCATTTATATAGTGCCTTAAGTATTCGATCAGAGTCCTGTGCGATCTCTCCAGGGCTCCGTTGCTTTCAGGATGGTACGCGGTTGTTTGAATTTTCGTTATTTTTAGGAGGGTGCATACATCTCTGAACATTTCACTGACGAAGTTCGTTCCTTGATCTGTCAGTACTGTCTCCGGTATTCCGAATTCGCATATTATTTTTGTGGTGAACTCTTTGGCAATCGTGTTTGCTTCCTGGTCTAATATCGGTATTGCTTTATTAAATTTTGTTAAGTCGTCTTGAAATATTAGTAGGTATTTATTTCCTTTCATGGTGACCGTGAGTGGTCCTACGATGTCCAGGGCGCATTTTTGAAACGGTCTTTCTGCCGTGTCGGTCAGTACTAGAGGCATTTTGGTTTTCTTGCTTAGTTTATTTTTCTGGCAATATTCACATTTGGCGATGTATTCTTCCACGTCTCGTATTAGTCCGTGCCAGTTGTGCATTAATCGTATTCGATTTACGGTACGTGTTACGCCTTGATGTCCTCCGAGGGGGACATTATGATATTCGTACATTATTTGCTCCTTGTCTTCTTTGTTGTATTCGCGTTCTTCCTTGTCGCGATTGATGCTGTTTATCTGTGTGTCAGGCGCGATCGGGTTTCTGCTGAGCGCGTCAGCATTTGTATTGTTTGCCTTTACCTGCCTTGTGTATCACCTCAGTCGTACTCTTCTAATTTGAGCTTCCATCTGATTAATCGTGAACCAGGGTCTGTTATATTAAATAGCCAGATCAATGGCTTGTGGTCTGTAATTATTTGAAATTTTGTTCCATAGAGGTACGGTCGAAAGTGTTTGACGGCCCATACTATGGCTAGCAATTTTTTCTCCATTGTGTTATAGTTTTGTTCCGCTTTATTCAGAATTCTGCTTGCGTATGCAATTGGTCGGTCTTGGTCTACTGGCCCTTGCGACAATACTGCTCCGATGGCGTATCCGGATGCGTCTGTCGTTACTATAAATTGTTTAGTGAAGTCCGGGTAAGCTAGAACTGGTGTGGTCGTTAACTTTTCTTTTAATGTTTCGAATGCGTTCTGTTCTGCTGTCCAAGCGAACTTCTCATCTTTTTTTGTTAGTTTTGTCAGTGAGTTTGCTATCTTCGAAAAATTCTCGATGAATCTTCTATAATACCCGGCTAATCCTATGAAGGATTGCATATCTTTTACCCATTTTGGTATTGGAAAGTTTGCTACGGCCGTTATTTTCGCAGGATCCGGTATACCGTTTTCGGAGATAATGTGTCCTAAGTATGTCACTTCCTTTCTTAAGAATTCACATTTATTCGGTTGTAGTTTCAGATTATAGTCTCTTAGTTTTTTGAATACTTCAATTAGTCTTTTGTTATGCTCTTTCAAATTTGGTCCATATATTACGATGTCATCTAGATAGACTAGGCATTTGAGGCCTTGTCCTCAAACCTAATCCGGTTAGTACGGAATTCATAAGTCTCTGGAATGTTGCAGGCGCATTTTTTAATCCAAAAGGCATTCTATTAAATTCGTAGTGCCCGTAAGGTGTGGAGAATGCTGTTTTTTGTTTGTGTTCCTCATGCATGGGAATTTGATGGTATCCCGATGCTAAATCCAATGTTGTAAAGTATTTCGCGTTTCCTAGTTGGTCTAGTATGTCAGTGATATTCGGGAGCGGGAAAGAATCACCAATTGTTAAGTCATTCAATTTCCGAAAATCCACAACTATTCGTAGTTTTCGCTCTCCAGATGCGTCTAATTTCTTTGGTACTACTAGTAAGGGTGCGTTCCACTGACTCGTGCTGGGACGGATTATCTCGTCGTCCAACATTTTCGCTATCTGTTTATTTACTTCTGCCTTGTGCTTCTCTGGTAATCTATATGGTCAGACATTCACCGGCGCGCTATCTGCTCGCGTATTTATTTCATGTGCTACTGCGTTAGTGTACGATAGGCGGTCGTTTTCTAGGTGGAAGATATCACAGAAATCTTCGCAAATCTGGTGCAGGGTTTTCTTTTCCTCTTTATTTAAATGCTCGGTTCGCATTTATCTGTGCAATTTTTCTTTACGAGCTTGAATGGGCTCGTCGCTTGTTTTGTTACTTGACACCTCCATGGTATACATGTGTGCGGCGTCTTTTGTCTTTATCTCGTCCACCGTGACTAGCGGCGTTGTTATCTTCACGGATTCTCCCGTGGTATTTATCATTTATTGGACATACGTTTTCTTCTGGTATGATCAAACAATTTCCTATGAAAACTCCGGATTTGGTTTCGACTGCATTTACTATTCCAATGCTATTCCGATCGGTTACTGCCTGAATTATGGTTTCACTGCGAGGCGTTAGCATGGTTTTCTTGTACGGGTAGAGTTTGAAAGTTGTGTTGCCAATACGGACTTGTTTTTTCCCATGATCGCATTTCGCTTGCTGTTTATTCAAAAAGTCTAGTCCCAGTATCCCTTCATAATTTATTGGGAAGTCATCTCTTACCACATACATAGTGTGCCGTATCTCTCGGTCTCCTAGCGTTATCGTTGCTCTTATCTTTCCGAGTGTGTGTATCTTGTGGTCCGTAACTCCGAGGCTAAACGCTCTTCGCGCATTAGTGTGTTTTCCTTTAGATTTCCTACTTTTATTAATGTCAAAGTGGCGCCTGTATCGAGGAGAAAACTTGTTTTTCCCTTTTTTGTCTCTCGCATCGGCAGGGTAATCAAGTCTAACGTGGCGTTTGTGTGAGGCGTATTCACCTGTGTCACTTGATGCTCGCGTACGGTTCGCGTTATCTTTGTT